GCACTACTCAGGTGACCCTGACAACCCAGACAAATCTCCAAATGGCTTCAATGACTCTCTAAAAGAATGCAAATGGCCAGCTGCCTGCAAGGAATATAAATCCTTCCATTCCTCACCATCCAGTCAGAGCTGAAGAAGCCTCTTGGATGAGAAGAATCTTGGATCTTCAAAGAAAAATAAGGAAGTCCAGTTGCCTCTTGGAAAAGCACCTTTGGGACAACTATGAGCTGGATGACTCAGAATCTCTATAGACACCTTGCATGAAGGTGGAAAATCCCTTTGGATCCATTCCTTAAAGGTGTAAATCAGCTGTTGCAATTCAAGAGGTTCAACTCTACCCCTTTGAAGCATTTTCCCTCCTTTCAAGTTTCCTGGGCATGTCATTTTTGCCATTTGTCCTGACAGAAGGGATTTCTAGACATACACATACACTCATGCCATGTGTTAAAGTGCCCCCTACTCATGGCTTCAAGAAATGCATTTATTATTTTTATAATAATATTATTATTTTATAATAATTGCATTTTCATTTTATAGTATTATATAATTATTATTTCATAATAATTATGTAAATTGTATACATTATTTATGAAACAAATGTACATAGCTTCCCAACTCATACATAGGTGACTTCAAGCGGTTTACAAAGTTTTAAAAATCCACTGTATAATTTAAAAAAAAAAACCATTAAAATAAACTCTTCTCCCCCCATGGCACAACAACACAATCAAATCGGCCACTAGATCGGCTCCCTCTCCTTTTATGTTCCCTAGACCCACTGACAAAACCATATTTTTAGGGCCTTTTGGAAAAGCAGTAGGATTGGGTCCAACTCAGGGTAAGGATGTTCCATAAATAAGGGATCACTACTGAGAAGGCTCCTTTTTGTGGTCCTACCAGCTAACAGTCCCCAACTGATGAGAGTGAGACCCATAACATACCCTGCCTTCCCATTCTGGTCAGCTGGGTGGATGTAATAGAGAGAGGCAGGGTGTAGGAGAGGATCTTGAGGCACTTCATCTCATTTGCACAGGCCACAAAACAGTTCTAAAAATGTCTACTTCTCTCTTAAATAATAGCTTCTACCACAACTGGTATATATATTTCTGCAGAAATATTAAAATGTGACAAAATGTCTTCTATTATAAAGCTCACACTGTACATAAATCTATTGAAATAAGTACAGGCATTCCAATTTGTCCCCAGACTATTGAAAAATGCAAATAGCAAATGGAGCTTAAAGAGCAGCATGTGATATTCGGTTTCATTTTTAATAATTCTCCCTATGTTTAAAAAAAAACCATGCACACAAGAGAAAAAAAACCCACCCAACACAGCCTTAAAAGCAGCAGCTCTAATTGTATTGCTCTAGTTTGGGCTCTTAGATAAAATGGAATAAGTGATTGGATCTACAAGTGGTCGGAACTGCTTAGGATAAATACCAAGACTGAATCCAGCTAGTTTGGGTAAGGCTCCAGACAAAAGGGATGCTCTATCTTGATAGGATCCCCTCTTCAAATCATCCATCTCTCTATCCATCTATCCATCCATCCATCTATCTTATCTACACACACACACACACACACACACACACACACACACACACAATCACAGCATGTGCTGGGGGAGGGGCTTGGAAGCAGAAAACCAAAGTGTATTACACTGCAAATACTCTCTTGTAGATGTCAGAAAAGAGACAATTTTCTGTCCCATGACCGTATCCAGTAATGGAACCTGGATGGGGGAAGGTGGGACCACATGAGAAAAACAAGGTTGGAAGTGGGCCATTTGCAAAATAAAAGCTGAGGCACACTGCTATAGACACCTTAACATGAAGCCCAAAGAGTGTTCTTTTATAAGTAGTATTCACTAGGAATGTTAATAGAAGAAATTGGTTTCTAATCTGTCCCAAAGGTGCTTTTTTTCCCCAAGAGGCAACTGGACTTCCTTATTTTTCTTTGAAGATATTTTGCTTCTCATCCAAGAAGCTTCTTCAGTTCTGACTGGATAGGGAATGGAAGGATTTATATTCCTTGAAGACAGCTGGTCATTTGCATTCTTTTATAATAAGAAAGTCCAGTTGCTTCTTGAAAAAAAAAAGCACCTTTGGGACAACCATGACATGGATGATTGAGAATCTCCATAGACATTTCTAATCTGTCATTACTGTGGTCAGTGTTGCATCTCTAGAATTCCCACAACGTAATAACCGCCAAGGGATTTGTGCATGGATAAACATGATAGACATTTATACAAGTCATCGTTGAGTTACAACCATTCAATTAGTGACCGCTCAAAATTACAACGGCACTGAAGAAAGTGACACGACCATTTTTCAGCCTTACAGCCTTGGCAGCATCCCCATGGTCACATGATCAAAATTCAGATGCTTGGCAACTGGCTCATATTTATGACGGTAGCAGTGTACCGGGGTCATAGGATCCACTGTTGGCAACCTTCTGTCAAGCAAAGTTAATGAGGAAGCCAGATTCACTTAACGACCGTGTTACCAAATTAAGAATTGCAGCCATTCACTTAAATCTGTGGCAAGAAAAAGTCATAAAATGGGACAAAGCTCACTTAATAACTGTCTTGCTTAGCAACAGAAATTTGGGGTTCTGTTGCAGTCATAAGTCAAATTACAGGACTGCCTGTAATTTGATGCCTCAGATAAATGGAACTGTCATTCTTATGCAGATGTTTTGAAAACCTGAAACAATCGTGCTACCTCTTTAACAGAACCTATAATTTTCTCAGTTCTATTGCTAGAAACACATCAAGGAGGCACCCAAGCAACTGGGTTAGTTTCAGTCAAGTTTTGACACGACCTATTTAGCACATCACCCAGATATAATTACTTGGGGATTTTTCACAGTTGTGAATTATTGAACTTTCTCCATTCACTCCTTGAAATAAAAGTCAAATAACTGCTGATATATATATATATAAAGAGCCCGAGCTATGAGGTGGCTTGGCTGCTGCCTTCTCTTTGAATCATCCCTACCCTTCTGAATGATTAAAGAATCTTGGCTTCACGTTTCTTGAATTAAAAGGGGAGAAAGTTCAGAAGCAACCATGCAAAGACAAATACAAGATCTGAAGCTCTAAAGCCACGATATATCTCAGTAGAATACTGACTGGCCATATTCAGCTTTGTTCTGGGTTCATACAGAAATGAAATGATGATAACAGCACGAATGTCCTTGTACAGAAAACAGATCAAAATTCCCATTTATCCCTAATGAATCACTGATCCATATCTAGCTTGAAAATAATTACATGCATGAGCGCACACCCAGACATGCACACAGCTTATGTATCTGATCTTTAATTGGACAATATGCTTCTCTCTCACTCTTAAGTATTGCGCAAGCATGCCTTGCCTATATTAGCCCCTAATGGATTAATAATAAAATTAATGTACTGTTTTTTTTCCAGGAGTTTCGCTTGGCTTTTATGGGACGTTCTATCACTTTTAACATCCCTCACAGAAACCCTGTGATGTAACTTAGACTGAGAAAGGGGCTGGCCTGAAATCACCCACAGACCTTCTATGGCTAATGGACTAAAACCTGGGCCTCCCTATTCCTAACTCAACAATTTCATCTCTACACTTCAAGAAAGAAAGAAAGAAATTTCAAGGCACCTGGGTTGATCTCATCATAGCTACACCAGAAGCAGCCAGATCAGGGGTGTCAAACTCATGTCATCACAGTGGTGTCATGTGATGTATTGGGATTTCCCCCTGTTCACTAAACCGGGAGGGGGCGTGACCAGCATGTGACATATCCAGCCCCCGGGCTGGGAGTTTGACAGCCCTGAGCCAGATGGTTAGATTCCTTAGACATCTAATTATAACATCGATCCCATTGAACTCTATGGCACAATATCATGGTGATTTTATTATGGTCCTATCTTAGTTTAATATTTTACCTCATATATTATATTGTCCACATATCTTATATATGTGTATATATATTTACCAATGCTTTATTTAAGCTTATGTTTGTGTATCAGTGATTGCAAGACCTCAATAGATGCTGTATGCTAAATAAACAAATAAAAATTTCTATGTTATGTTAGCTCTCCAAAAGAATCACTAGTTTTGAAAGATTTCACGTGTTGCTGTATTATTTCTATCACATTTTTTTAAAATAAAATTGAGGTCCCACCTTTAATTTAAAAAAAATCAATAATGCACTTAGAATTGGTCTATGCTGTATTTTTAGTTAAAAATAAAAATAACATCTGGGTATTTTAAAAAGAATATTTTTAAAACTGTGGTTTGGGGGCAGCCAAAGTTTTAACAGACTCGTTTGGTTTAACTTTGACCAGTTAAATATATGAACAAGAAGCACTTCCCCAATCTTCAGTTATCTTGTGATCACAAACATCACTTATCTCAGCAGTTATCTTGCAAAGAAAGAAAGAAAGAAATGAAGAAAATGAGTGTAATTTAGTGTATCCCAAATAAACTTCATTGGGGCCACTCACTAGCTTTTAATTCAACATCTTCCATAAATTTGTTCTGGGAATTTTTTTTGAAGAAAATAGTGCTATGGATGCTGCCTCTGAACTCTCAGAGAAAAAGCATGATATAAAAACTACCACATCAACGCATCATTTTAAAAAAAAAAAAAAGCTAAATATTCCTACAACACTTTGCAAAGCTTAGACTTTCAGATTTAATGCAATCAGCAATCCTCAGAATCAGTTCCAAAAAGCAGGTAAGCATTATGTTTTCCTATGCCTATAATAGCCCTGGCTTGGGATGAACCGTTCTGCAAAAGAACATACTTGGGAATGAGATAATGGCCTGAATAACTCCAAAATTGCAAAAGCTAATGTGGCATCCAGCTCATCAAATGCAAACAATTCCCTTGGGATTCTTCCGAATGCTCTTTATGGGTATAATTAACATATGAATAACCACTTGCAGCAATGTGAAATCTGACTTAACGGTTGGCATTTCTTTGTGTTGTTGAAAAACTGGTACTTACGTATTCTTCGTAAGATTCATGTGCTGGTAGAGGGGGGGCCCTGTAACCTGGTACTGCTGGAACTCCTCTGGCTCGAGGGGTGGGGACCCCTCTGGTGGTGGGTGGGACTGGAAGTACTCCACGGGACACTGGTGTTCCTCTTGCTACTGGAGCTCCTCGTCCGGGTGGTGGTGGAGGGATGGCACTCCCACGCCCCCTAAGAGTGAACAGAGCAAGCTGATTATTGTGATAAGGAGCACTAAAAAAAAAAGAAAGATTTATAAAGGTACATAAAAGGATTTCTGCACTGACTGCATTGACATTAAACGGTTATTAGAGGAAAGTTTCAGTAATTTAGAGAATGCATATTACCATTCAGGGTCCTTGGTACTCTCCGAGCCTGGTTCTTTTCTTGCAGATGTTTCATTACCCAAACTACCCTGAATATAAACCTACCCTGAAAGTAAGTCCTAGAATGATCTTTACACGTGCGCCCAATATAAGTCCTACCCCCAAAATAAGCCCTAATCAAGACCCCACCCACTCCACTCCCACTTGCATGAGTACAAATTAAGCTAGGGTGGGGATGGGGGTGGTGGAGCTGCTCTACTACTTACCTTTGGACAGTTGTAGCCAGGCTTCTCATACCCCGACACCTGCCTTGCCATCCCATTTCTTCTGCAGCCAGCAAGACTGGCAAGGCTTTCCTGAAGGCCTCTGTAGCCGATAACAAAGCTCTGGATCAATCCGGAGCTCTGTTATTGGCTGCAGAGCCTTCAGGAAAGC